TTTGACTATCTGATGTTCAAACTTAATCAATGTTCTACTCACCGTCTTTCTATCTAGTGTATCATGGCCTTTTAAATCAGTGGAGTACGAACGCACTAATTCAATAAATTACTTGCTGTCAGAGTGCCTGCCTGACTACCCGACTAGCATAAAGGTTGATTGCGTTTACTGACTGCCTGAGATAGGTGTTAATTGCCGACTCCCTATGTATGATTAACGAGCGTATAGGTTTAAACACTATCTGCATATCGGGCTCCTTGGCTAAATTTTTTAGATCAGCGACTGACTGACGGCAACTCGGCATGCCACAGCCAAATTATAACTGGCGTACATTCAGAGTCACATCACTGTGTATGAATAGAATGCCAAAGGAAAACAGAAACGCCAAAAATACCCTGAAGGAAAATTGCCCCTCGAAGCAGATGTTTATGCTACCGTAGAGAGCTCATAAACTGTAACAGACACGTTCTCCTCTTCCACCTTATTCATTTTGTCTGTTTGGAAAAAAGTTGTGTACAATGCATTTCCAATGTACCCCTGAGTAAAATGTGTTGGGGGAGGTCAAGGAAGGAGCTAAATAATGATTTAGTTCAGATTCACGAAATTCAAACGTACATTCCTTAGCTTTTAATACGATACTAAACTGTATCGCTTTAGAGCGCTTTTCGATTGAATGTCAAAAAACCAAAACCAAAGTAATCACAATGGCCAATCAGAACAAGGGAAACTATCAGAAGGAGCCAATGAGAACTCGAAGTAAACGCGTGTAACCGGCCTGGAGCACGGGAAAACGCGAGTGACCAAGTTGCGATTTTTTTTAGTTTTGCATCTGATTGGCTGAGAGGGTGGCACGAGTTTTCTAGACCAATCACAACACACAGTAAAGCAAAACCAATGCAATCTCGGATTACTTTCGACACTCAGTTGAAAATTTCTCTAACGGCACAAGCTAAATCCATATGATTAAACCTGTGGTTATGCCATATCCAGCGTATAGGCGTTCAATATGGTCGCACAACTTACAGAGGAGGTATTTTCATTTGGCAGACGTAGTTCAGGGTGTTCGCCCTCCTTCATCCTGGTATCGTTGTACAGTTTGGTTGGTAGGTTGGGAGTGTACAGACCGTAGTCTGTCAAGGGATAGTTTACAGCAGCGTGTTGGACGCTCAGTTGTGAGATAATGCGGGTCAC